TACACACAATTCAACCCATGACACTATTGGATCAAATCATACATATACAAACAATAACACTCAGTAAACCACTTTGGTAATTCATAAATCCATGTTTAAAAAACTTACTACCACATTGCTTAGAATCCCCTGATGAGATCAGTGGTGAAAGGAGCATAAGAAATGTGCTCCTTTATAGACTTATTGGCTGGCTTATGATCCTTGAAATGAACCCTTTACTATGGGCCAGATGAATTTGGGCTTCTAGCCCTGCCCATGTCCAAAGCAAATCCCCAGGAATGAATACAGTTCCATGTGGCTGGTGGGATTATGGGTGACATTTGCTGTCTTTACTCCTTCCTCAAATAGTGTGTCCCCCCAAATGTATACACACTTTAACAGCTGATAGCTCAATTTAAAAAATGAAATGTATTTTAATAAGCACTGCCTTTATAATTATTCAAAGTGTGTATACATTTTTTTGGGATATCCTATGTTTATTGAATATCAGGTACTGTCTAGGCTTTGGGGAGGTCAATGGGAACAAGACAGGGTCCTCTCTGTTAGAGCAGGGGTGACAGTAGAGGAGATGGTGCTGTGCTAGCACTAGGACAATACCGCAGCCTGGTCTGGGGTCACATGCCGTCCCGTGCCTGGTGTCCAGCCAGGTCAGCAGTGCAGACTTCCTCTTTCCTCTGGGATTTATCTACTCGTCAGTGATGTTCCTGTGACCCAAGCCAGAGTGTGCGGCGGACACTGCTCTGCCCAGGTGCTTTTGGATCCCTTTTACTGTCTGTGCACCCATCTGCAAGTTTTGTTATGGAGCCACTTTGCGCATGTGCAGCAGGTACTAGCGCTAGAAGGGCCTGGGGCGGGTTTCCTGCCCCCTGTGCCCTCCCCTGCGGGTCTCAGCCAATGCCTGATGGATGACGGTGCAAGGGTCTGACAGCCCAGAGGAGGGCCACACTCCGAGCACTATTTACAGTCCACTCTGCTTATTCACAGACTCCGTATTTGCAAATTTACTGAGGCACTAAAACTTACTTGTAACCCCAAACCACTATGTATGATACTTTCATGGTCATTCAAGGACACACATATAGTGAGGCAACACTCTGCCTCTTGTTTCTCTCAGGGTAAACAGGTGTGTTTTTTGTGTGTGTGGTTTATTTAGTAGTGCACACTTTTCATACTTTGGTGCTGTTATTTCACTTTTTAAAATTACCCCCAATGCCCGGCCAGGTGTGGCTCAGTGGCTGAGCATGGACCTAGGATCTAGGAGATTGAGGTTCGATTCCGGGTCAGGGCACATGCTCGGGTTTTGGGCTCAATCCCCAGCAGGGAGTACGCAGGAGGCAGCTGACCTATGACTTTCATCATTGATGTTTCTATCTCTCTCTCTCCCTTCCTCTCTCTGAAATCAATGAAGATGTGTTTAAAAAAAAAAAAAATTACCCCTAAGCATTATGCTGAAGGGCTGACTAGTGTTCCAAAGAGCAAGCAGGCTGTGGTGTGCCCTATGGAGAAAATCCGTAGGTTAGGTAAGCTTGGTTCAGGCATGAGCTACAGTGATGTGGGCTGTAAGTTCAATGTTAATGAACAAAATACATTGGTGTCTTTAAACAGAAACACACACATAATCTGGTTGTGAGTTAATCCAAATTGCCAAAGGTGTGACCACAGGCTCGCAGGAGCTTAACCCTGTACTTCCTCTAGGAGCACTGACTGCGGATTCTCTAATTCCGTGTTCACGGTGACTCTAACAACTACCACGCACAATAAGAATCCACGGAGGGATGCGCGTGGCCTCTTGATTCCTAGGGAAGAAGCCAGAGCTTTGCAAAGCCCAACGGACATGTCCTTCTTAAGCTTTCACTTTTAAGCTTTTTGGTTAATTTATTGTTTGTCTCAACTGTGACCCATTTCCTCAACCACTGAGGAAATGTTTATGATACTAAAACATTTAAATGGTATACCACCTGTGGAGAAAAGCCTTTAGGATTGGGCTAGTTCTGGTGAGGTGGAATAAATGCCAGTCTTTTCCGGAGGTCTTCCAGCATCCATTAGGCCAAATAATGACTTCTTTGGGACGGGGGCTTCGAAAGAGCTGCAGCCCTGTTCTGGTCTGTTTGGTACCGGTACTGGGAGGGTGGGCTGTGAGCAGTCAAGGCNCAGACAGGCCAAATAATGACTTCTTTGGGACGGGGGCTTCGAAAGAGCTGCAGCCCTGTTCTGGTCTGTTTGGTACCGGTACTGGGAGGGTGGGCTGTGAGCAGTCAAGGCTGCGTGGAGCTGGGGAGGAAGAGGTAGGACTAGAGTAAATTAGGGTATTATGAAGCCTGATGTTCCTACTCAGACTCAGCTATTTTTCTTCACTAAATGCTAAGTGGGTTGCTGCAGGACCGGCTAATTTCCAGAGCCCTGAAAACATTAATTCTGACCATTCTGCCCGTTTTTCACTGCTTGCGTGGAAGGGCAAACTTCCTGAGGTCCTTATACTCCAGCCTCTGACATGACCGACATCACTTTCCCTTTCTTTTAAAAAAAGTTATTCTATTGTACAATATTAAAACCACAATTCAAGTTAAAAAAATTTTAAAATAGTTTTTCCACACAAACTGGGGGAAAAAAAAAAATTAAAATCCAAGAGAAAAATTGCCCCTCATCCCATCCCCCAAATTCATTCATTTTCCTTTGTCCAGGTTACTGCCTACTCTTCACCCACCCACAGTAGATTTGGACATTTTGGTAGTAATATTATAAATAGAATTCTGTCCAAGTTAATACAGGGTGTCCCCAAAAACGTATACACGCACTTGGAATAATCATAAAGGCAGTGTTTCGTGAGAGAACATTTCCTTTTCCAAGCGGAGCTACCTGCTGTGAAAGCGCGGGTACCCTTTCGGGGGACACCCTGCGTATTACTGCATTTTCCCCGCCATCTTTCCGCCCCCGCGTCTCCCAGGCCCTCGGGCCTGCTCCCCACCCCCGCGGCGGACGGGACGGCTCCGCGCGCCTTCCCCGCCTCAGAAACGCCCGCCACCCACCGCCCCACGGCCAGGGCTCCCTCTCCGCCGCTGCCGTCGCCGCGGCCACGCAGCGGTTCCTCACTTAGCACGTCCCGCGTGTCCCGTGGGTCCCCGGGCGGGATTTCACACGGGGCTGCGCAACTGTCTGCGGCGCGGGTAACGCTCAACCCTCGGCCTCAGGACCCAGCCTGCCCCGCACGAACAGCCGGGTCCCTACCTCGGGTCCTGCCCCTTTTAGTTCTAGAAGCTTCTCCGAGGAAGGACTGCTGGGTCAAAGGTCACACAGGGAAAAAGTTAAGAGCGAGTCCCCGACTTTCTCAAAAGGCCCGAACTCCCGGTTCCATCCGCAACGTGTCCCCGCTCGGTCCCGGGTCGGCTTCTGGAAAGAATACACCCTTTTATGTTTAAAGCGGGGGGTGCGCGGGGAGCACTGAGGCGCGGGCGGCGCTGAGGCAGC